CGCCCAACTCTGGCGCGTCCATCGAAAGCAACTTTCCTAGCAGTCGTCTGCTGCAGTCATTTACGGCGCAGCAATCAAGGCTGGCCGAGTGCTCGCTTCAAAACTGGCTCAGGACTCTGGAAGCAAAAGCTCGTGCCGAACGGCCCACGGCAACATCCAAACCATTGCAAAATCGCACTGCCAGCTCCATGTATCCCGTGCTGCCCATTGTGTATACGTCGGTGTGGGAAAGGTTTCTGGACCTGTAAGAACCAAACAACTGATTGACAACCAGGCTGATTGCTGAGGGGGCATCGATGGGCCGCGTCATGCTCCACCTCTTCAAGATGACCACCCTTGCTCGGCTGGATATCCAGCCCTACTGGGAAAGAATTGTGTCGCACCACTTGTTTCTGTCAAAGTCGGCGAGGCATAGAAAATCGTATTGGCACGAGTGTCCCACCTTGGGCTGGGTGCTCAACCGAAATGTTGAAGGAGACCTGAAGAAACTTGGCGCATACGATCTCCTTGTCGGTAGGATCCGGCGCACTCACGCTAGCTGGACTGTCGGACGTGGATCCCTTGGCTGCTTTTCAGATCGCAGCGTATCTGCTGCACGACCCAAAGAACGGCAAGAATCCCACGGGACTGCCGCCGGTGCATCCTGCCACGTTTGGGCTTTTGCTGGAAAAGTTGTTTCTCCAGCATCACCATCTGGAGGCGTCCTATCTGATCCAGCACGGCCTGTCGTATCTCCAGGTGCGGTTTCCTCTCTTCTTTGGCTCCAAGGACTGGGACTTTTTCTGGGTGCAGGACCGTAGCCTCCATGCTCGGAAGCGCTATTCGCGCAAAGTACCGCTGACTCCGTTCCTTTATGAAAAGCTGGTTGTCGGTCTGGCGTATGGAAAGTTTATGACGTCTGCAGCTCTTCTCTTCCGCGCTGCCAATGACCGAGGCATGGACAAGACCAAGGGAATGTACGAAGGCCTGGCCCGAGCCCATTTGCTTGCTCCCAGTCCAGCGGTTGACGAGGCTCTCGCCTATCTCGAAGAAATGAAGCGGCTTCAGCTGGGAAGTCCCCTTCCGTCCACATTGGCAATGCTGGTGGGCAAGCTCAACCAGATCCACAAGCGGGAGGATGCCGTGTCGCTGCTCACGTCCATTCTTTACGACACTCCCCATCTGATCAATTCAAACGTTGCCGCAACCATCATCAAGCAAGATCTGTATGTGGCTCCATTGTGTTCGCCCTCGGATCTGCTGGACCACATGAAAAAACACAAAGAAAGCCCGAGCCTGGACTTTTTCAACGCCTGGATCCAGACCCTGGTCAACAATGGCGAATCCATGGCCAAAATCAGAAAGGTGTTTGCCAGGCTGGAGGAACTTGGGCTGCAGCCGGACGTGGCCATCTTCACCCTCATGGTTCAGGGGGAGTTGAAAAGCGCTGAATCCGCCCTAGATGACCCCGAAAAGAGCACATTGGCACTCGGGCTGGCCAGTGGGTGGATCCAAGAGATGGAGAGGGTTACGTGCACATCGGCCGATAAGGTGGTGCTGACGTTGATGTCCAAAGCCTACGTCCGCGGGGGACAGATCGATAGAGGCGTCGAGTGTTTTGGCAAGATGGTTGGAGTTGATTTTTCCACGGGAACGCGGGAACCGGTAGACAGCCATCGCATCGTAGATGGAGTTGCTTGGCGGAGCTTTGTCCAGGCTCTCATGGACGGCGGTCACCACGAAACGCTGTTCAGGATCCTGGAGCAAGTCCGACCCACAGGAGCTACCACTCTGCTTGAGTGTGTCGACTATTTGCTGGCCAGCGGCTGCTTTCTGGCGCTGGGGCTGATTCCTTCCCTAAAGTTTGAATGCGATCGTGCTGCTTGTCTCGCCAAGGCGTTTTCGCTCATTCAGGACCAGGCTGTTATCGTCCACCAAGACTTTTTCCACCGTGTAGCTCACGTTGTTCGCTGCCAAGCTCAGGAACAAACCACCCTGCTTGAGGCGTGCCACAACCTCTTGAAATCGCCCCACACCATGTCTTTTGCCGGGCCAGAGCTGCTGCAGCCTGCCACAGACGTGCTGGCCCTTGTCTACCTCGTGCTCATGGCCAAACACACCAAGACCAGCGGCGTGTTTCAGATCCAGCCTTCACTGCTCTCGCTGATCGACACATACTTCCTGGACAGCAATGTGCCGGAGCCAGCAGTAGACTCATTCCCCACAGCCTCTCTGGCATGCGTGCCAGTGTCCTCCCTAGTCTCACTGGCGCCAAAGAATGTTGCGCAAGGGCAGCACATGACGGTTCCTCCCATCAAACTCCCCGCTGGTCCTGCCAAAGCCAGCCACTCCTCGGCACAGCAGTTTTACCAGCGGCTGAAGGGACTTGCGCTGACAAAGCAGTTCAAAACCCTGAAGGATGTTCTGGGCGATGCCATGCGCAACAAAAACACTCCGTGGACGCTGGGGCTGTATGACCTCTTGATCTTTTACCATCTGGACGAAAACTACTTTGGGTCGGGCAGGGAGCTGATTGAGCACATGGAAAGCCACGGGGTGCAAGGCTCGATCAAGTTTTATGCAAACTGGATTGCTCGCGAGCAAAAGTGGAATCCGCCCTCGGCCAAGGCGCTGCTTGACTACGCACTGTCAAAGTTCAAGCCAGACCAGCAGTGGGTCTACATGGAGACTGCCATCGCGCTGGCGTCCTCTGGCCAAACACACGAGGCGGAGCTGCTGCTTCAAGAGTTTCCTGTCATCTTCCGGGTCTATCGGCATCTGATTCAGGCGTTTCTGTACCAACACGACATAGAGCGGGCTCTCCACTATTTGGGCATACTCATCCACTTTGATTTCAAGCGCGGAACGGCCCTGGAGGGCCCGCCCTCGCCGCAGCCGCTGAAGGGGCTTTCGGTGCTGTTTGAGCACTTTTTCCGCTGCATCCTGAAGGACAAGGACATGAATCCGGTGATTGCGTGCAAGCTAATTGCCAAACTTTACGACCGACATCTGGAGCTGGGTCTCGCGTTTGATCCCAAATTCAACACCGTGGAGCGGCTGTTTACGCATCTCTACGAACACAACGCCCTGTCCACCATTCTGTTCATCCCGCATCTGCCGCCCTTTGTCAAAGTGCAGAAATTCAGCAAGGTGCTGCGCCAAAAGGTGCTGCGTGGCAGGACATTTGACCTATCGGACCTCGAGGCCTTTTCGGTCCATCTCCAGCACTGCGTTGATGGCACGGAGGGGACGCTGGATACATATCTGCGGCACTATTTTGCCTGCAGCCGGATACTGACGGAGGGTCTGTATTCCCCCGCGCAGCCTCCGAGCTTTGGCATCCTCGCCATGATGTTTCTCGTAGAACTCACCCGGTTCCAGGTCAAATCAAAGAAAGGATTCCCAGCCCTGGCGCTGGACGAACGAACCGCAATGCTTCTCGGTCGAATGGTCGACAGGAGCGGGCCGTTCTTTGTGTACTCGCCCTTCCCCAGGGCCAGCAGTGTGTCCGACGAGCCCGTGCTGAGCAGGAAGCCGGTGCTGTCAAAACCCGTCACGGTTGCCTCCCTGGTCTGCGAGGATCTGGCGGTGCACGACCACGAAACGCTCCCGGCGCAGTTCCAGTTTCCCAAATCGACTGACCCCCAGCAGCCAACATCATTCACCACGGTGCTGGACACCACGCTGCCGTTTGTGGGAGACACTCTGTGGCTGATTCGCAAATTCACCCAGGCCAAGCAGTCGGATCACGACGCTCGCAGAGAATCCACCACCTTTAAGCAGCGCTATGCCAAGATGCTGCTCCGCTCCTCCTCGACGCTCGGCGACCTGGTCAAGAACAACCCCGACCTAAAGTCGGAACTGCACTGGGCCTCCTGGAACGAACCCAAGGCCAACTAGCGCTGCTGCATATACCAATATACCTTTTTCAGAGCTGGCTTGGCCGGGGGCAGGCATGCTACATGTTCAGTATTTTCGCGGCCTTGAAAAAAAAGCGTCTCGCAAAACAGACCTTTACCTTAACAAATCGAACTGTAAGTACCGGCGAGAACCCAAACGCTACCAACTGGCCGGCTCTTTAGCCCAAACACTTTGCTCGTGGACAGCCTGGCCCAGCGCGCTCAAGTCTTATTGGATGCAGAGTGTTTGGTTGACGGAGCTACCGGTGATGTAGTAAGGAAATCGACCGACACTTTGACGACCAATATGCTAATCAGCCAATAGAAATGTCTGACGCCGGAGATGATGCTGCTGAACAAATTCAGGTTGCTGCCGATGCTACCAAGGGAGCCATGACTATTGAAGAAGCGCTTCAGGAGGTCCTTAAAAAGGCCTTGATTAATGATGGCCTTGTTCGTGGTATCAGAGAGTCTGTCAAGGCTTTGGACAGACGCCAGGCCCAGCTGTGTGTCTTGGTGGAAACCGTCACCGAAAAGGAATACTTGAAGTTGATTGAGGCTCTCTGTGCCCAACACAACATCAACCTGATCAAGGTCTCTGATGCCAAGAAGCTGGGCGAGTGGGCTGGACTCTGCAAGATTGATCGTGAAGGAAACGCCCGCAAGGTTGTTGGTGCCTCTGTTGTTGTCGTCAAGGACTATGGTGAAGACTCTGAAGCCATGAACATCCTGCTCCAACACTTTGCCTCCAGATAAATGTTTGGGAATGGTAGGTTTGACTGGCTCTGTCGCTTGATGATGATCGTGATCTCCCTCTTCTCAAGTCTTGATGTAGATATTTCGCATCCGGAATCTTATTTGCACATCTGAAAGATGACTCGATCTCCCTTTGCCCAGACAGCACTGACACTTGTAGATCACTTGCACTCCAGACCGCCGAGTCTGTTCATTGTTTTCAATATAACAGACTACTCTATCTCGTGCGCAGACCAACCTGTGAATGAGTGGCCGCAGCCAGCGTGCGACCCGCGCCGGCAGGCGAGCGGGACAGTTGGTCGCAACAGTGGTCCACATGCCCGGATTGGGGGAAGTCTCTAATACGAGAACCACAAAAAAATTCCGTCTCGCGTAGGCAAGAGGTTTAAGCCATTGGTCTTATACCAGAAAGTATACCAAGGATCGTGGGTTCGATCCCCACCGTGAGTACATTTTTTTTTCTGCTCTCCTGTTTTGCAGCCAGTACAGTAAAAAAGGGGTGATGGTGCCGCATAAATGACGGGAGCGTTGTGCCCACACTTGGCTGAATTGTAGTCATGCCACCCAAGGTACAGTGGCAGACAGCTCACAGCAAGGTCCGCAAAATTGCAATTCTGGGAAGCAGAGCCGTTGGAAAGAGCTCTGTAACGCTGCAGTTTGTGGAGAACCACTTTGCTGAAAACTACTTTCCCACCGTAAGCTGGTGGCTGCTAACTGCTGCTAAAAGATTGAAAACTTGTTTACCAAGACCGTCAAGTACAAGGGCGAGGAGTACGTGGCCGAAATCATCGGTAACCAGGTGGTGCTGACAGTAGATACGGCCGGGCAGGATGAGTTTTCGATTCTAAACTCCAAGCATGCGGTGGGTATCCACGGCTATGTGCTCGTGTACTCGATTGCGTCTCGCCAGTCGTTTGAGATGGTGTCCATCCTCCGAGACAAGATCCTCAACTTCACCGGCATGGACTGGATTCCCTGCGTGTTGGTGGCCAACAAGGTCGACCTACACCCGCAGAGACAGGTCTCGACCGAAGAAGGCCAGAAACTCGCCAAGGAGTGGAACTGCGCCTTTATCGAGACTTCGGCCAAACACAACCAAAACATTTCTCGCATTTTTGACCAAATGCTGAACGAGATTGAAAAGACCCGCGGATCCGAGGCAGCAACGGAACAAAAATCCAACTGTCAGCTTATGTAAGCAAAGACTTGGCTTTGTTTGCAGTGTTTGTAATAATAGTTTTCACATGACGAGCTGAGTTGGCCAGATCGGTGCCTGAGATCGTCAAAACTCAGCGGAATTCATCCCAAGAATGAACCAAATTCCCAATGAACTGTTGGCTCTGGTCTTTTCTTGGCTGGAGCCCTCTTCCATCGTTAGGTTTTCCCGCTGCTGTCGCAAGCTTAAAGCAATCAGCGATTCGCCAGCCAACCAGGCCGCAATGTTGCTGAGGCACTATGGAAAAGGCCAGGCAATCTACTGCTTGTATACCAGTCACCGCCGCTTTGTCTCGACTGCGCTGCTGACCTGTTTGATCGGCAATGGTGCATGCTTTCCCCGCTTCTTGGCCCAGCACATTATCCAGGACTTTCAGAGCAGAACCAGATCGGTGCCTTCCACTGCCGTCTATGTGTTTACTGTCAAGCTTGCTTTTGAGCTGTTTGGAGATCACTCGGACTTTAAGGAAAACGTAAGCTAGAACTGCTAATGCCAGGACCACCGGCTGTTTGAGAGTCTGGTGCGCACCAATCCAGTGGATGCCGAGATGGCCATTGCTGATCTGCGCACGCTGATTAGCAAGTACCACTTCTTCCCGGTCCTGGAACAAAGCCACAAGCTGGTGGGAGAGTCGCTCTATCTGCTGTCGCTGCTAGATCTTGGGCTTGTCACGCTCTTGCGCAACGAGCTGGGGTTTGATCTTGGTGTGTGGAACGACTCGATCATGGACCGTGTGTTTCAGCAGCCCAACATCACCTCCGGGCTGGTCAAGAGCTACCTGAATATCGGGTTTGTGCTCAGCGATATGGTTCTCAAACGAGCGATCGCCCAAGGCAGGCCGCATGTTTTGGACATCCTGGACCAGGTTCGGTCCAGACAGCAGCTGGAGCGACTGGCAAGAGACACCGTGTACGACCTGTTTGGTCCTTATCTGGACCGGGACCAGTCCCTCAACATCCTATGGAGCGGACCCGCCGTCTCGCGCATTGTACACTTTTATTCCATCCCAACCGAAACCATCGAAACCGCTCTGCTGGCCCATCCCTCGGAGTGCTGCACGTTCGAGACTGTCCATACTTCCTTTCCGGTTACACGGGTAAGCCTGGTGTGTTAACCACAGCCATATCTGAAAACAAAGCCGTATGCCATCTGGCAGTGGGTTCTGGAGGAATACGGGCCGCACCACCGGTTCTCTATAGCCTGTTTCGACGACGCCCTGTCACGGGCCGTGGGCGATGAAGCGCTGCACCAAGTGCTCGACTCGTTTCTGCAGCAGGGCTTTGTTTTGCGGCCACGGCATATCAAGATCCTCGCATGCAGAGTGCTCCACCGACACATGACGGGCAATGCCCTCAAGGTCATGGTCCATCTCCGCAAGCAGATCCAGGAGCGGCATCGGCTGTCCTGCATCCCGGACATTTGCAGCGACGCAGACGATGTTGCCCAGGTCCGCAAGGACGAGCTAGATGCCTTTGCAAGAGCTCTTGCCCGAGAAGTCGCACAGAACAACGACTGGAAAGAGCGGTCGAAAACCATCCAGCTGGGTTCGGGCCACGCCGGCGGGACGTTCCGCATCGACCGCGCTCCTCCTGATGTGGTGCGCTTCACCGAGGAATGCACAAAGCTGCTGGGAGAGATAGAGTCCTGGTCGAGGACAAAATCCTCTCTTTTTTCCATCCGAGACTCAAAGCCCAAATCGCTGGTGGAAAAATCGCCAAGGACCTTTTTCAAAAAGTTCAAGCGGTAAGGCCCCTAGCTTACCGCCAGATGGTTCCGGTTTTCATTTTCGTTAAGCAAGAAAGGCGTTGCTCCTGCTGCCTAGCCCTTGCCGTAATCGCCTCATATGTTTCTACCATAAACGACCTCATACCGACGGTTCCTGCACAATGTGGCCGATGGAGGGGATAAATGAGGCACACGTGTGACAAGCCTGTTGACTATCCGAGTTGGCCAAACAACAACCAACCATGAGCAACTCCCTCGAAACCCTGAAACAATTCACCACGGTCGTTGCCGACACCGGTGACTTTGAAAGCATTGCGAAATTCAAACCCCAAGATGCCACCACGAACCCATCCCTTATTCTGCAGGCCACCCTCAAGCCGCAATATGCTCATTTGATGGACAACGCCATTGCCTTTGGAAGAGAAAAGTCGAGGTGCGGGCCAGATGGCTAACGCTAGCGACCCCAAGGAGCAGCTCTCCTGGGCCTTTGACAAACTGCTGGTTAATTTCGGAACCGAGATCCTCAAGATTGTTCCTGGCCGTGTGTCTACCGAGGTGGATGGTTTGCGTCTTAATCTCTCATCTCCATAGCCCGTCTCTCCTTCGATAAAGAGGCCAGTATCGCCAAGGCCCTCCGCCTCATCGAGCTGTACAAAGAGGCCGGTGTTTCCAAAGACAGAGTCTTGATCAAGCTAGCCAGCACCTGGGAAGGCATCCAGGCAGCGAAGGAGCTCGAGGAAAAGCACAACGTCCACTGCAACCTGACCCTCTTGTTTTCGTTTGCCCAGGCCGTTGCCTGTGCCGAAGCCAAGGTTACGCTAATCTCTCCGTTCGTGGGCCGCATCATGGACTGGTACAAAAAATCCACCGGAAAAACCTATGCGGCTACCGAAGACCCTGGCGTTCTCTCGGTGCAGTCGATTTACAACTACTACAAAAAGTTTGGCTATAACACGATTGTGATGGGGGCGTCGTTCCGCAACGTTGGGGAGATCGAAGAGCTCACCGGCTGCGACTTTCTGACCATTTCGCCCGGTCTGTTGGGCGAGCTCGCGGCGTCCTCCAAGCCGTTTACGGCCCGTCTCTCGAAGGAAAATGCCCAGTCGCTTTCGTTGGAAAAGGCATCGTTTGATGAAAAGTCCTTTAGGTGGGCGATGAATGAAGATGCCATGGTAGGTCGCGGCGACTGACCGGTTAGGCTAGCGAGAAGCTTGCTGAGGGAATCCGAAACTTTGGCATTGACGGAGTCAAGTTGGAAAACAAACTGGCCGAACAGCTGGGCTCCAAGTAAGCGCCGACTGCTGGCACATGCATTCTTGTATTGATAAAGTGTCGTGCAGCGAGACTAGCATTGTCCGAGCAACTGCCAGGGTGCATTGAAGCGCGGATCCCCTGTGGTGCTGAGTGGCCTTGCATTGTCTGCTTGTCGCCTCTCCACTGCATGCTGCCTCTCCATTTCAAGATGCCTCTCCACTTGGCGGTTTAACAAAAAAGAAATAATATATACACTAATGAGCTCTATTGCAGATACCAAGGCAACCAAACGATTCAATCTCAAGCTTCCTCCAGTACGGCGGAGTCGCTCACCCTAGAATATCCGAACGCTGTTTGAAGAGCCATTTGATGCCTACCTGTACTACCTGCTTGACATCTCGGCAGCCCTCACCGGCCCGTTCGATACCAAGTTGGAAGACCGCTTGTCCGAACTACCCCCCAATTCACAGGGATCGTCGTCTCGCTGGACCTTGTGGGTCTCGAAGGGAATACGAGAGCTGTTTGATGAGCGCAAGCTTGTGCTGGCGCCTGCCAAGACCCACGGAGGGTTCGTGGAAATGTTGCTGGTGTACCGCAACCAACTAGCCGACAATGGAGAACTGCCTCCCTTTGTCAAGGACGGCCACTCGCTGTCGAAAAAGTCATCGCAGACCTCGAGCACCATCGGAATCAACTCTGATGTCTTTTCTCCTGGGCTGGCCTCTCCGTTCCTGTTTTCGCCCTTCCAGGACGACGTCTTTACGTTCGGAAGCACCATGACGCTGATGGACAATATCCCCACTCATGTCCACCCCGAGCTGATCTTTGGACAGGACTCCTCGTCGCTGCTGCAGAGCTACGGCATGGACTCGCAAAGCAGCGGCAACACATCTGTCTCGGTCAAGAGAGTGGTCCGCAAAAAGCCCAGTCTGTCGGTCCACACGGCCAGAGACCAGGGCCCCTACGAAAACGCCAAAAAGTCAAGATACACCCTAGCGAGCAAGCCGCCTCTGGCTCCGTTTGGTCATCCTGGATACCAGTCGGCGACCACCATGACCAATCTCAACGATGATCTCAACGGACTGCACATCATGTTTTCTCCGCCCGTGGAGTCGTTTCCCATGCTTCCGTCGGCAGACATCATGGAGGCCACCAAGCTCCAGTACCACTCGTATTCTCTGGTGAATCCATTCGAGCCCCGCTTAAGCAAGGAAGACACCTTGCCCGATCTGGGACCGCTGTACCAGCCGCTCTC